GCAATCCGATTAAGTTGTGATCCCAGGATCTAAAAACTTACTTTTCCCTTGTAGGGGAAAAACCCTTTCTGTGTGAGGCACAGGGATGTGGTCGCTCCTTTGCTGAATACTCCAGCCTTCGGAAACATTTGGTTGTCCACTCAGGTAAGAGTCTTCATTTGACATTCTGTGATCTGTCTGAGAAAAGATATTTATTGTAGGACTTTGATTTGATTTCCTTAAGAAAAATCCCCTGGTGTCTACAGAACTTCTGGTCACAGTGTTTCATGACTCATGTAGTGCTGTAGTCTGTACACTTGAATCTTTTATGTTGTTTCTGTTTCTCAATTCAAATTACATTTTTAAAATTGTTCCTAAAATGTCATGAAGTTGAATATCCATTTCATAGCTGCCATTTTCTTGTTTAAAAGAGACACTCTACCACCTCTATGTATTAATCACAGCCATTCGAACCTGGAATCTCTTGTGAGTGGTTTCTGCCATAGGTGGGAGTTTCCTTTGCTTTTTCGTACTACATACTTGTAACTGGACAAAGCATTAGATGGAAATGTATTTCGCAGGTGTTTTGAAGCTTTTGCCTTCTGTTTTCCTTTCTGAGGCCTTGAGCACCCTGGTCTAGTGGGGAGGTGTCTCTGCCCGTGGCAGGGGAGGTTGGGACTAGGTGATCTGTAAGGTCCATTCCAACCCCTAAAATTCTATGGTTCTGTGATCCATTGATCTATCTTACATATCATCAGCACACGATGACTGTGGTATGCTTGGGGAGATTTTATTGGGATTGAGTTCTCCATGCTTTTTCTCTCCTGTCTCCTTGGTTTCCATGCCACTGAGCTGGCAAGTATGGACAGCATACTTGTTGTGTTGTGAAAATGATAGACTGCTCTGTAGAATGGAAATCCTTTCACAGTGACAAGTCATCATCAACACTCTGCTCAGTAATGTAATCAAGATGCTACAATTTGTTGAGAGAGCTTCCTTGTCTCTGGTCATTTTATTCTAGATGTGGGACACCAAATAGTTCAATGTCATTCAGTAAGAGATTTCAAATAACTTACTCCCTTTCATAAATCAGACTTGAAGACTTTATGTTACTCTTCAGACTTGAGTTTCTCAACAGCTGACAGTACTGATACCTAGAACTCTTCTGTTCTAGCAGCTTATTGCTCTCCAGGAGACAGGAACATTTCTCTCATTTCTTTTTTTTTTTTTACACTGATAATTAGCACCAATGGTGTCAACAGCCATTTCAAAGGAGTATTATTAGTTTCTTGGCTGATGAGGTCTTTACTCCTAATTTGGTAATTCTTGGTATATTTTCCCCCCTTCTACTCCAAGGAGTGAAGCCCCATCAGTGCCAAATTTGTGGGAAGACATTTTCCCAGAGTGGAAGCAGAAATGTGCATATGAGGAAACACCACTCCCGAATTGGAACAGCTGGCAGCAGGGAGCGAGAGCAGCCAGGTAAGGAAAGGGAGCACACTCACTGTGGGGGAAAAACACCAGTAGGTGGTCAAAAAGAAAAGGGAAGATATTTTTCCTGAAAATATGAGACCACAAGCCAGTAGGAAATAGAAATCTGTTCCTCTTAAGGATGGAGATGGATTGCTCACCCTCCTGTTTTCTAGGACAGAACACAAAGTTGTATTTCTTTATCATGGTCAAAGGGCAGATATGTTTGTTGTTTTAAAAATTAGCATGAATCTAGTCGGATTTTTTTACGTGGATTTTTTTCCCTTGGTTATCTGTTGTTGTAAGCAGCCTCAGGTTTTTAAGCAATGAGAATTTTTTAAAGATAAAGCAAATCTTGCCTAAGACCTCACTGTGTTAAGGTTCAAAACTATAAACACAGTAGTTTCCAACCATTGCAGTTCCAGATGCCCAAAGAGCAGTAATGGATAAAGTAGGTGTCTAGGGAAGAAGTCTATGTGACTTGAAGTGGGGCAGTGATTGTATCTTGCATTGCAGTATCATTACATCATGAGAATTTTGTTTTACCCTTCTTTTTCCAATAGAGTCACTGATGGGCAGCAGTTTGCTGGAAGAATCTACAGTGCACAGTAAGAATCTCATCTCCATGAACTCTCAGCCCAGCCTTGGTGTTGAGTCTCTGCACCTCCCAGACACTGAGTCTATTATTGGAGTAGAGGAGGGTGAGACCAGCTGCTCTTTTTTCCGCCCTCTTATATGTGGTGACTGAAGTGGGATCGATCATTCCTCCCAGAGGCTCACCATATTGCAGTGGGATGACTGACCATTGCTCTAACTGCACAGAGCAGGTGGGTAGGTGGAGGATGAGTTGTAAAACTGGAGTTGGAGAAGATCTGCTGGACCAAGTTTCTCTCTTGCAGAGCTTACGAGGTGAAGTCTGCTGCTTAGGTGTCATTTAGCCCATGTCATGGAACGCCATTTCAAAACTGTTTATGCAGTCCATCTTCTAAAGCCTAAAGTGTTTGTTTTGCTGGAGCACCTAGGAGCCCCAGTTAAGGACCAGGACCTCATTGTGCTAGGCACTGTACAAACATTCAGTATCTTGAGCAACAGGCCTTCCATCCTTTACCTTCAGAGACTATATTCTAATACATCTCACTGTCAGAAGCTGACTTACTATTCTGAAATAAATGTACTACTTGATATCATTTGGTTACATTTGCTGTGTTCTTTTCTTGCTTTTCCCAGTCACTTTTTTCTCCACAATTTGTTTGGTAGATCAAAGTCTTTAAACAAGTGTTTGGAATTTTTTGCTAAAGACTTTCTGCAGAACTGGCATTACTGAGAACGCAGAGTTTTGCTAGGACACTGTGTGTTTACAATAGCTCCTGTGCAAAGAGAATGCTTTGAACTTATACTACTCCCTACCTGAATGTAAAGGTAGTGCTGTTGGTGGTAAAGGCATTGTGACCTGGAGGTTCTTGCACCTGTGAATCAGGGTCTGAGGCGGTTTGGGTGATACTCCAGTGAGATGTCTCCAGTTCTGCAGTATTTGCATAGGTTAGCCAAACAGGCTGTAAATCTTCTAAAAATAACAAAATAGTTCCATAAAATGCAAAAATCTAGAGCCAAAGTTCAAACTCTTTATTTCTATACCATTTTTGAGACATACTAAGAGATGACAAATCCCTTTTAGGATTACAGGAATGTAATCCTCCTTTGAGAACAAAACTTCACGTAGCAAGAGAGATGTTAATGAGTTTCAGTTACTTAGTTTTATGCTTTTAATTTCATCGCCATTTCAATAATTTCTGTTTAGGGATCAATATTAAGACTTGAATTTACCTGTTCTTATATTCATGCATGTCACCTTAGTATTTGTTGAAGGGATATGGCAAAATAACGATTGATTTAAAGTCAGACTTTTGTTCCTCCTTTCTTATGGTTTCCCTTTGCACTTCACATACTTGGAAATTCCTTTTTCCAGCATCATTAACTATTATCATGGGAATTAGCAACCAATTTTAGTAAACACCCCTTAAAATGTACATATTAAAATTTCAGTCTCACTGCTCCAAATATATCCATACAAGCCAAATGGGCTTTAGACCACAGACTTGGAGCATGGAAGTAATCCTTCCTTCCTCTGGCAATGTGACAGGCATGGTGACAGTATGTTTACATCGCTGCTCTTTACCAAGGGGCACCCAAAGAACAGCCTCTGTGTGTCCTACATAAGTAAACCTATGTGGAAACCAGTGCACTGGTAACAGCCTTCCCCAAACCCCCCAAGATGCTTAATCCTCTTCTCTCTCAGGGTGGAGACTGAGTCAGCACAGAGGAATGCTGCAGCCAGTGCACTCAGCTAGGTTAGGTGCTGATCTCTGTGGCAGTGTAACGGAGCAGTGTGAAACCCCCAGGACACACATTCTTGAATTTAGTACTTTGTTATGATTAGAAATGTCATTATCTCAGTTCTATATCTTTGTCTATGTGGTAGCTCTTACAGGTACTGTATTTCTGATTTGATTATGAGGTTGTGTTGTTACGGTGTAAGGAGAAAAGAGTTGAGGTGACAAAAAGAGACACAGCTTCCATTTAAAAAGTGAGGAAAAGATACTTGATAAAGAAATTGTACAACACAGAAACATAATAGGCATTCAAAAATATTTTAATCTCAAAGTGCAAAATTCTCAAAAAACATTCCAGGTGGTAAGGATTTTTATTTTGAAATGGTTATTACTGTCAGGTAAAGATCACTAATGTGTGAAATATACCATTCAATATGTGCCAGGCATTTGAGTGCAACATGCTGACAAGAAAACCCTAATCTATCTTTCACCAAAATCCACCTTTGAGATCACAGTAATAGTAGAATTAGGACAACAGCAATTGGAAGTGATGCACTGTTTTAATTACAACCTTTTCATAATTTTGGTTGTTTTTCAGGCCAAAATAGTGACCTAAATTGGTAAGATGTTAAAGCATTTTCAACTAATGAAGTATGGGATTTTTTAATATAGAAAGACTATTGCTTCTTACTAATGGGAGGAAGGAGCAGAGCTGGTAATGAGTGAACAAAGAGTTAACACCAGAGAAAAACTTCCCTGTGAGTCTTCTCCCAAGGTAGGTCAAAGTCTGGTATTTGGTTTTGTAGAAATATATTGCTTGAAAGCATTCTGCCACGTGTATGTCTAAAGAGGGCTCAGCACACAGAAAGGCATTCTCCCCTGTGTGCTTCCATGGCATGAACACAAGCAGCTGACACTAGAGGATGCACCTCTTCAATCTTCTATATCTACTTTTATCCAAAGACAGATAGTGCTGCAACCTTTTGAACTTGTTGTCCACTAAAGATAGGGAAATGGCTCACACAAGGAACCCTTGTGAAGACTAAGGGAGGCTGCAGGACATGCTCTAAACAACAGTTGGTCTTTTTTCTCTTTACTGAACTGTCCCATCTCACTTACCCCAGAGCAACTCTTAGGTGTCAGCTTAAACCATTAAGCTCCTGAGGATTAACCTGGAGAATCTTGAATTTAAAAATCAAGAGATGATTCTTCTGCTAGCTCTTATGTTGCCATTTCCTTTTTGCTCTGTTCCTCTTGAGGTACTTCTTCCTGTACAGTACAGTCATCCTTTTCACCCCGAGGCTCGGGCAGTCTGCAGAAATAGTGATTGTCTAATACCAGAAATGGTTTGCCTTATGCATAAGAAATAGAGTGCAGGGATAGGAATTCAGACAGAGAAGCCATGAGAGCAGTGAAGTTGATTTAATTTTTCCCTCACTGAATAATAGAAATCAGACTGCTTTCATGAACAAGGAAAATATTTTTAGTCAAAGACAAAGGAGCTGTACTGCATTGTTTTTATTACCTGTGAACTTCAGATTCTTCTTCCAGCAAGTCAGTGGCATCTTTCCCTTTTTTCATTACAAATCCTTCGCTTAGGCCAACCTGCTGGAGGGTGTGTCTGTAGCGACGCTCTGCTCCTTGACGAGCATCATGCTATGAAATCGAAACTGAAACAATAAGCTTGTAGAACTGAGCCTTCCCCTAGCAGTCAGGTTGTTCTAAAGTGCACAGCTGACACTCCTAAGGGGGACAAGAGGACAGCAAAAGCTCTGTCCAAAATGTTTATAATCCATACAGTACAGTACCAAGTCTGAATACTAGGAAAACGTCTCACGTCTCTCAAAGCCAGAGCTCATCTTTTCCTGCTTATGTTCTTTTTTTCTTCCTTCTTCTGTTCTCCTCCTTCTACCACATTCCAGTCTTACCAGACTAGCATACTTGTGTCTGAGTCCTGACACTCAAATGGAGAATACGTGCAAAAAAGGGTTGTGGGAAATTCTGGAAGTATGTTTGCTTGTGATTGGTAAGCACTAACACCGGTGGTGTTCAATACATGGAGAGCACCTGTGAAATAGCTTCTTATCAGCTCAGCTGAAAACCAAGCATCTTGGATCCTGTATCCTCACTGCCTCCAAAGGAACCTTGCAAACTGCTGTAGTCTGAGATGAGGGTTCCTAAGATGTTCCATATGGAAGGATAGAAATCTAGTATCTGCATGAGTGAATGCTATTGATACTGGTGAACTCTCACCAGCCTGGCACACAGAAATGTTAGCAATACTTATCACACACATCTGTTCTCTGCCTCCATCATCAGAACAGAAAGCCTGACTCAGGAAGGCACTTTCTGTTGAGAAATCTTAAATCAGCATATTGTCAGTGTACTGTCACAATGTACAGCTGTCATCCCTGCAAGGACACTGAACTAAAGAGAAAATCCAGGAGAAGAAGATACATTTTAGAATACAGATTGTATCTACACATCAGGTGCAATAGAGATTTGCAGCTGGTACCATGTGATGGATGAGATATGCTTAATGCAGCCCCAGACAGTAGAGCCTGCAGGTGGTATAAGTGATGTCATTAATGCTCTTCTAGTAAGCCCTAGAGGTACAAAGAAAATGTGCTCAACTGGACAGGGTTTTAAGACAAATGGTTAATGTTTCTAGACTGTAGTCTGTGGTATCCAGGTGCAGAATAGTATTCCTATAATTTCTGGTGTGATAAGGCCTTGATTTTGATCAGACCATGTATTTTGATTGCAATATATACTAGGAATTGCAAGCTCTACAAAGAAGAAATAAGTCTGTTTTTTCAAGTGGTGGGAAGTAATTTGAATTATACTTGTGTGGCTCTTCCATATGTTGAGCGTAGTCAAGAGACTATGCAACCATTTGCACCTTCTTACCCATGAGTTAACATGAGACTGCCTGCCTTAGTGAAAGACAATGTATCCTGTTGCCCAGAAACACTCTGGAACTTTGACCAGTTACCTTGGTGACCTGTTCGAAGAGGTATGGCCTGTTCTTGACTCGCAGCTGCATTTCTTCCAGCTCCTTTTTGTATTCTTTTGTTCTCTCTCTCATATTTTGCCTGAAAAGAAAAAATTGCCTGTCTAATATGTCACTGACTAGCTGATCAGGAATGAGGAATTCTCAGTAACTGCTTCATCATTTAAATTGCTTGGATAATTCCCTCGATTCTGAATGCTGGACAAAAAGAAAAAAATCCTATTATTATTGCTGGCAAGTTATAGACTCATTAGCAAAGCTCTTCTAGTGTGTAAGCAAGGAACCAGTGCTCACATTTTTAGAAAACATTGTCTTATGTGTGCTTTACAAGGTTATACATTGCAGTCGACTAGTTTGAGCAAATCAGTTTCTACAGATGATAATCTAAAGGAAGGAGTAGTGTGGAATTGTCAAGAAATCCAAATGAATGTGGAATGGGTATTACAGCTGAAAAAAGCTAGGCTAGGAATGTTCTTAGACCCAGTTCCTTCTAAAGTATTATCTGAAGGTCCCCATTTAGTGGAGCAAACAGTTATTTCTGTGCAGAACATGATACTGACCGGTTCTGTTTCAACTTCTCCTTGTGTGTTTCCTCTAGACTTTGATGAGGATCCAGTGCTTTTGCTCGGCTGTTCACTGACTTTTGCATAGCTTGACATTTCTTTTTCTGTTTCTCCAGCCAATTAATTCCTTCTTTGTCCCCTTCCTTTTTGCTATCTTGGGAGTACCTATACAGGAAAAAAGTTACTAATGAGCTCACTTATGACTGCCAGACCAGATGCTAGCTGGGAATTTCACTTTGTTAGTCCTCTTAAGGAGAAAGGCAAAATTTGAGCCATACAAGTGCACAGCTCCCAAATCAACTGGGGGGTGGAGCAAGACTCAGCAAAGAAAGAAGACAGAAAAACATTTAGGAAACATATTGCTGATGTAGTTGATGTGATGAGGGAAACCACTGATGGATTTTCCTCCATTTTGGTCATTAGTTGATGTATGGTCTTATTGACAAACTTTTCTACTTACCTAATAGCAGATTCCCTTTTTCTAGTTGCATCTGTAATATGCACTGGAAGGGTGTTGGAAGAGAGAGAGGAAAGTCCGGTCAGAGAATGACTTTTTTGCACTGAAACCTTGGAAAGCTTCTGAGAATCCTGAAAAAAAAAAAAAAGGGAACTTCATTCAGTGCATTTGTTCACAATACAGAATCTCCTCTGTTCTTTGCCTACCAGAGAGAACAATTGGGGCATGTGGGCAATGCACTCATTCTTCTCTCTTCCATCAGCAGGGATTGACATGTGGAGGGGCTGAGGGCTGAGAGGAAGGAGGCATACTGAGGGCTATGAAAGGGTGGCTTAGCCTTAGCTGTCATAGCTCATCTCTGTACAGAGCTCATCTTGTTCTCCGGTTTGTCCTAGAATTCTGCAGTATTCTCAATACAAGGGCAGAGGTCGCAGGACATTAACCATCCATAACTAAATGCTATAAATTTAAGAAGTTGGTATCTTAATTGGAGAAAGCAGCACCACAGGTACCTCACCTTTATCTTTTCATTAGCCTGCCTCTGCCTGGCACAGAGATTGGAGGTTCTCAGCTTGAACGGCTTATTACGAGTTGGCTCTTTGATTTCTTGCCTCCTTGCTGCTTCCCTCTGAAATGCCCAGTAAAGTTCTTCAAAATCTGGTATTGTTGGATTAATCCTTGGCTTGAAGCTGAAACTTTTGTCCTGCAAGAAGCCAAGTCTTTCCTGCTTAGTTCTGGCAGCAGTTCGGGACTGAGGCTCCCTCCGGCAGTTGCTGGTATCTATAGGAGCTGTGGAGCTCTCAAGCAGATCCTTTGCTCTCATCTGAATGCGAATTTCTCTGTAGAGTTCAGCTTCTAGTGAACCAAAAGGAAAGCAAAGAGAACAGTATGAGTGATGCAAAAGGCTGTGAAATTGTCACTGCATAAGTCTAAACTTTGCTTTATGATGGCAGCTCATGTATAGGAGAGACCAGACAGCCTGTGCTCTCCTTCCCCACTTTTCAGCCTCTCTCTCCTCTGCCTCCCAGGGAAAAATAGTTCAAAGATACCAGAAAAAACATGGTAGGGGCTCTTTCATGGGCATTATTTTCTAGGTATATCTTTTACTTATGGAATAAGTTACTGAACAGGCCTTCTTCTACTCTTAGAGGTACCAGGTAACTTGTGCCCCTTTGTCTTGCAGAAGTGTTAATCAAGGTTCTGCCTTTCATGTGAGATGTTCTGTCATTATGTTGACCCAAATGGGCTGTTCAGCTATACCTGTAACAGATGATGACTTTTCTATGTAATATCCAGCAGTAATTGTCTATGTTGGAAAAGATTTTAAGTAAGGAATATTTGATGGATAGATCATGTCTTGTGACTTCTGTGACAAACTTTCCATCGAAAGAATGTGTTTCAGAGCATAGCATCAAACTGAAGTCCTTCCCTGTGCAGCACTGTTTGTGAAAGTACAGACAAACAGTTGCCTGGAGATGGGTCTTTTGCTTTTAGAGAAAAAAAATCAATACTGTTGTTTGCAAAATAAGATGGTTTTGAGTCCATTTATAGGTTTTCATTGATTGAGGTATGAAATGTTCATTTCTCCTCCCTTCTCATATACCAGATAGAAATAGAACAATGGCTTGTCCCTTGCTCTCTTTTCCTTTTCTAATCTATTTAGTTTGGTACATCCCAAGAGATTATTTTCTGATGAAAACCAAACTGGTGTATACTCAAGAAGAAATCAGGGGAAAACAGTAAAAAAAAACAAAAAAAAAACAACAGAAAGGGAAAAGTCATGAGAATTATTAAGAGTTTAGTTCCCATATTCAAGCATGAAGTCTGTATTGCTTACTTCAAACTTACAGCTGCGGCAGCTTAAGCCATCTGAAAAGCAAGTAAGCAGCAGGAAAATTTCCTTGGCTGTCCTGACTAGAATGGTGCTGGCACCTACTTCCCCTGTTTTAGCACTTAAGAAAGTGCAAGTGGGAAGGCAAATTGAAAACATCAGAGAATGGCAGGAGGCACTGGACTACTCACTGTCACTTAGAACTGAACTAAGTGCCTGATTTGGGCTCAAGAAATATTTTTCTCCTCTCCTGTACAGCACAGGTCACTTGAGTGGGAGTAAAACTGTTAGGTCCAAGATACTGCATGGACCTTGGGCACTTATGGGACTACATCTGTCTTCATGTTTATGCCACAGATATCTCCATCCCTTTGGCTTAATCAAAGGTATGGAATCCAGTGCAGGGAAGGATTCCCAAACTGTCATGATCTGCCTGAAGAGTTCAGTGTACCCATGTTTGCTGCAGTGTTACAGAAGTGCTGCTGCTGACACTGATGCAAGACACTAAACTCCAGACACTCTACTGTAAGGGTATCTAGACAAAATGTATTGCACAGGAGACTAGACCACAGCAGGGGATGCTATGACACTGCATTATGCTCCAAGTAACACCCTATGGGCCCTGATCTTACCTCCCAGCACGGAGACAGCGAGTGACAGGCAGGGAGGTGTTTTTACTGAAAGAGCCCTGGTGTGTTACCTTTGAGTTTATCTCCAAGAAGAGGGTCGTAAGTGGATTTAGGAACTTTTTTACTGCCTTGCTTCTTCTTGGAGCTCTCATTTGAGGTTGATGCTGCCAAGAATTTTTGTCTGATAGCTTCTTTTTTTTTCTCCTCCTTCTCCAGGAAGCTGAAGGGCCGCTGTGTTGAGAGTAGCAGCTCTTTTCTTTTCTGTGTTGCTGTTTGCCTGCGAATCTCATTCTGCTCCATTATTTCCTGATAAAGGGGCAGAAACACATGGGCAGGTACAGGCTGTGCCCGGAATTGTTTCTGACATTCAACTTCATCCTGGCTTTGCCTTCTGTCTCTCTGTTTGTCTAGTTCAAGAAACATGTATGCATTCATCAGCTGGGACTTCTTGCGAGCTTCCCGCAGCGTCATTTCAAAAGGCTGAGGGATGGTGATGGAAGGAATCCAGGGAGATGAAGCACTTTTTGGCCTCAAGCGGGACTTGGGAAACAAGTGAGGCTTTTGCTGATCCCAGGTACTGTCCAAGGTGAGGTCGGTCAAAGAACTGGAATGCCTTTTGTTACCAGATGTATGACTAAGACAAAGACATTATGAAGGGGAAATAGAGTTAAAAGAAGGGAGACACTGTTGATTGAGAGAAAGATACCATAGGTTGAGCAGGTTGCTAACAGACAGGCTTAGGGCTTGTCATTTCTGGGCTCTGTATTCTGCTTTGCCACCAAAGTTCATGAGCACAGCTTTGCCTGTTTTATGTTTTCCATGGATAAAATGGCAGTTACTCCTACTTAGCTTTGTTGTGCAGTTCATTGTGCTGCTAGCACTCAGCAAGGCCACAAGTAAACCAGAAAGTTCCAACTTTAGGGATATCTGGCTAATAGCCACTCAACATAAAAGACAAACTCAGGAGAGGCAATAAACTAGGCTCACAGACACACAAATCCTAACAAACAGCACCAAACACCAGCATTCCTGAGGTGCTGATGGGAAGGTCACGGCAAGAAACTGCTTCAGTGCAAGTCCTTAAAGGTTGAGCTGGAAACTTTGTAGCTGACAAGAAGAGCATATGATTGAGAATAATAAAAAAACAACCACCTGAGGCTATCCAGGGCCTCATTAAAATAGCAAACTTCTCCTAGGATGCTTGAGGGCAATTGTGAAAATGAGCAAAGCTTATGAGATTTTAGGGAAGGAATAAATGTAGGCAAAAGGAAGAATCAAGTTGGATCAGGGTGGACAAAGAACAGGGAAATGGAAAAAGGAGGGCAAACTGCAGGTGCAGATCACGTGTAAACAGGCTTCTGTGTAAACACTTGCCTGGTGATTGCTGCAGTCTCTTTTCCTCATAGGCTATTTCCTTTGTGGGAGCATGCGTGAGGGATCTGCTAGGGAACGTCAGGCAAGAGTGCCCACAGAGAGAGACACCTGCGAGCTCAGTGTGGGAAACACCGCGGCTCTGCAGAGTGGATGCTGGGCAGACACGCGTGCGACCTGCTGGCAGGCTTTAGTCACGATTAGCTGATGCGTGGGACGAGGATTTGTGCTGTTGGTGCTTTGTGTGAACGCTGCTCACGTGGGCGTACCGCCCCATCCTCCCATCTGCGGACACACTTGTGCCAGCGTTTCGGCACCGCACACGTGCGCTCGGCCAGTTAGCGCTTCGCCTGCTCACTGCCCAGAGCCCGCAGGAACCCTGCGAGACATCCTCCATCCTCACCAGGCACCATCCTCCCTGAGAGCCTCCCTCAGCTTCTCACGCAGTGCCGCCGCCTCCCGCCTGAACCCCTCCAGCTCCTCATCCTCCTCCAACGCCCCGAGGTCACTCCACAGCTCCGCCTGGCGCG